TGCCCTCTTATGCTTATGTATTTCTGCTTAATATGAAAAGTCAATTTATCCTAGAGGATAAATTGATCAATTTATCCTTGAGGAGGTTATTTTGTGGTTTAGAAAATAGAAAAAAAAAAAATCCTTCCAGCTTTTCCAGAGAGCACCTATCCCCGTCACTAATAGTCAGTAGTAACGGCAGCAGCTGGCATTGGTTCCCTGCCTGCTGGGTGCCTAGTGCTGGACTGAGCGTCTCAAATCCTTCTCTTCTTCCAGTCCCACAACTTCCTTTTCTTTTCTTTTTTAAGAATTATTTTATTTAACTTTATTTATTGTTATTATTTTCCAGTTTGGTCAGACGAAGAGAGAGAGAGGGGAAGGGAGAAAGCAAGCCACCAGGTCCAGGACTTGAACCACAGTCAGCCATGGTATGGCTGGGAGTCCAGTGCCTTTAAGCACTATACCACCTGCCAATCCCCAAGTCCCACAATTTTCAAGGCTGGGCATTGCTGTCAAAATAAGGAAGACTTCCATCTTACAGACATGGACACTAAGGCTCAAGGAGATTCAGTCACGTGTCCAAACTCACACAGCCAGTGAGAAACTGAAAACCAAAACCTTTCTTCTTAAACTATTTACTGTGTAATGTAGTGTATTGTTTTCAGTTCAGCCAATCTCTTTGCTTGGAATGGGAGCTCTTGCACCCCCACCTCGTATGCGAGTCTGGGCAGGAATGACCAGCACAGTGAACCTGGGAAATGTGGGGAGGGCTTAAAAGACAACTGCAAGGTGTGGGCAGGGGTCAGGGATGTCACAAGGGGAGAGTGGTGGCCCAGGGCTTTTTTTTTTTTTTTAATTATTTTTGTAATTCCCAGTTTACATATAATTGTATATGTTTTTGTGGGGTAGAGCATAATTATTTATTTAATTGCCAAAGAGTATGTAAGGTAGCCAGAGACAGAGAGACAGAGAAAGAAAAGGAGAACACTCCCTCCAGTAAGGCATGCTCATGCTGTAATCCCTTCTCCATTGCCCTCCTGCAGGGTTTTGGGCACACTCTGCACGGGCATGGTGTGTTTTTCAAGCTGCTGGGGCTGGAATTTGAACTACAGTCAGCCATGTGGGATCTCTCATAACCATTATGCTGTGGGGGTGTTCCCAGTAATTATTTTCTGTTGTTTTCCTTTTTTTTTTATATATTATTATTGTTATTTTTTTCGAAATTATTTATTTAACTTTATGTATTCGTTCAATCATTTTCATTTGACCAGAGAAAGACAGGCACACAGAGAAAAAGAAAGTGAGAAAGCAAGCCACCAGGTCCGAGACTTGAACCATGGTCAACCATGTGGGAGTGTCCAGAGCCTTAACCACCACACCACCTGCTGACCCTATTATTGTTATTTTTTAATTGCACATGTTTAATTGAAGCAACTGCAGACTGGAACTTAGTCATCCCCCAAACTGGGAAATCTACTACTTGGTCTGGGAGACTTGTTTGTCTGTTGTTTTCTTTTTCGGGGGGAGGGTTGCTATAGGGTGCATGAACTTGCCCGAGAGATAAAGAGACAGAGAGAAGGAAAGGGAGATAATACCTCCCAGCTGGATGGCTTAAATAGAGTCCTTTCTCCTCCATTCTCCTCTGGGAATTTTGGGCACTCATGCATATGCATCTGGCATGTTTTTCAAGTCACCACTTCCAGGACTTGAACGACACAGTCAACCATGTGGGATCCAGCTGCCTTAACCACCACACCACCAGCTGGTCCTCCAGTATTTTTTTTTTTTGGAGAGGTTTTCGCTATAGGGCACGTGCGCTCGCCAGACAGACAGAGAGAGACATAGAGACAGAAAGCGAGAAATCACCCCCCAGAGGGGATGGTCACGCCGCAATCCCTTCTCCTCCATTCTCCTCTCGGGATCTTGGGCATGCACGCACAAGCGCCCAGCGTGAGTTTTAAGCCACCGGGTCCGGGACGCAAACCGCGGTCGACTACGTGGGAGTCCAGCGACATAGCCATTACTCTAACTGCTGGTTCCCCCTCCAGTATATTTTTTTAAAGCATGTATACTGAGACCAGCAGATGGTATAATGGTTCCGTTGCTGAACTCACATGTAGTCGATGTGGTTCGAGTTTCAGACCTGGTGGCTTAAACTCATACCAGGCGCATGTGTGTGTGTGTGCCCAAAATCCCAAGAAGAGAATGGAGGAGAAGCGAATGTGGTGTGGCTGTCCCCTTGGGAGATGGAGAGGGATGATTTCTCACTTTCTGTCTCTCTGTCTCTCTGGTGAGCACATGTGCCATATAGCAAAAAAAATCTCTTTAAAAAAAACATGTATACAGTGTGTAATAATCAAATCGAGGATACATGCATTCTTGTGTCTGTGGTCCTAGCTAACTGGGAGGCCAGGGCAGGAGGATAGTGATATGGAGAGACCCTGCCAAAAATATCAGTCTCTAAGTAACCAACTTCAAGGAGAGATGCACGAATATAAAGAGCTGAGCCTCCCCAATGGGTAAGGCAAATAAGGGCAGAGCTGGGATGTGCCCCTTTGATTCCAGCCTTGGAGCTCCCTCACGGCAAAGCTATGGCTGGCTGGGTCTCTGAGCTGAGCATCCCATGTCCTGCTCTAGAAGAGAATCACAAAGACAGGAGCCAAGGCAGAGTGAAGTGCAGCGGTGGAGCAGAGGTGGCAGGAGAAGGGCTTGGTTGGGAGAGACCAGATGCCACCCCATGATGCATGCGGGGCTCCCCAGCGCCAGATCTGGGAGCACTTCTGGGCTCAGTGGAGCTCGGCAGGCCAGAGCTGACTGGTGGATTATAATCTGGCTGTTGTCTTTCACTTAAACACAATTGGCTGCAAATATCTAAACCAGAGCAACACTCACTGCTTTGCGATAATTTGGTTCAAACACATTTCTACCAAAGTGCAGTCAACAAGAAAAACAACAAAATTAACCACCATCAACCTGCACCCTCTAGCTGCCATCTCCACACAGTGCCTGAGAGGGGCAGGAAAGAGGATGCTGAGTGGACCAAGTCCGTGAGGGTCTCAGTTGTGACCCCTTTGGGGCTATTGGGGATCTGACTTTATGGGTCTAGGAGTAACCAGCTCTGTGTCTCTGGAGGGTAGAAATGGGAACACTCCTAGGGAGTTTATAGCAGGTATCACATGAAGGGGGAGAAAAGTATAGGAACACCACCCTAAAGAAAAGCACAAGTAGGGGCCAGTTCATGGCATAGTAGTTAAGGCACTGGATCCCACATGGCCAACTTCACAGTTCGAGTCCTAGACCTGGCAGCTCGAGGAACGCACTGGGTATGTGTGCATGTGTACCCAAAATTTCAAGAGAAGGCAAGAGGAGAAGGTACTGCATCCCAGTCCCAACAGCCTGAAGAAAATGCCAGGTGCAGGTGTGCATGCTCAAAATCCCGACAGGATGGAGAAAAGGGGGAGAAGAGATCGTGATGTGAACACTCCTCACCAGGAGGGGTCTTCTACCTGTTTCTATCTCTTTCTGGCAAGCCCAATCATTCTCTGGCAAATTAAAAAAAAAAAAAGTAGATGGCCAACAGGTGGCATGGTGGTTAAGGCAGGTGGATCCCACATGGTCAACAGTGAGATTCGAGTCTTGGACCCGGCTACTTAAAAGCATGCCAGGCACATGTACATGTATGCCCAAAATCCTGAGAGGAGAGTGGAGCAGAAGGGATTGTGGTGTGGCCATCCCCCCGGGGGGGTGCTTGCTCTCTCTCTCTCTCTCTCTCCCCAATGAGCTCATGCACCTAATAGTAAAACTATTTAAAAAAAAAAAAAAAACAACTAGAGAATAGGGATATAGATGCAAAGGTGGACCGTTAGCTTCTACTGTAAGGTAATGCAAAGAAATCTCCTGTCTCCATCTGGCTTATAAAATTGTAAAGCTAGACAGGCCCTCCAGAACCCCCTCCATTCCTGCCTTTACCAAAGACTCTCCCATTTCTCAAACAGAACGAACAGTACCTACAGTTAGGTTTTCTTCTGGAACAAAAGACGTGTCTTGTTTTAGATTGATTTAGGGACGATGTCATCTGTGGACAAGGCTATGGTTTGTTAGGAGACCAGTGAGCCTAAAGAAACTGATTTTATCACAGGGTCTTAAGAAATTTTTGTTTTGGTTATCTCATTGCATCTTCAGAGCCCTGTAGTCCTTTGTTCAACAAACACGGACTGAGCATGAACAGGTGGTCAGACACTATTTTAAAAACGAGTTCATACCATTAATAATACTGCCCCTGCCTTGTTTGACAGGTTCAGGACCAGACTCTGTAATCGTCACTGTGATTGGGTATTTCTTTCCCAAGTCTGTTGGCAGAGAGGAATTTTGCCCCAGAATGGACCATAACCAGAGTCTATACCTGATCGAAATGATGAGATTTGGGATTTTTTTCGAGTATATGTTTAGGTGATATCTGGGACTTATGAGTTGGTGCTAGAATGGGCAAAGGTTTTAGGGGACGTTGGAGTAGGGTAAATACATTTCGCACATGGGGCAGATGTGAATTTTGCGGGGGTGGGGACTAGCAGACTGTAGGGGTTGAACAGTGTCTCCAAGAACTCGTGTCCTTCCAGAAACCTCACTATGTAACTAATTGGAAATGGGACCATTGAAGACATAATGAATGGAGACAAGGCCATACTAGAGTAGGGCGGGCTCATGATCCGATACGCCTGGTGTCCTTGTAAGAGGGAACAATGCATGCAGGAAGACAGTGCCACATAAGGGTGGAGACAGACTGGAGTGAAGCATCTGTAACCACGGAACACCACGGACTGCCGGCCACTACCCAAAGATGGGGACAGCCATGAGACAGATTCTCTCTCAGGGTGTCCAGAAGGAATCAACCCTTCCAACATCTTGATTCAGGCTTCTAACCTCTAGAACT